GTCAGGCCGGACCGTTAGCAGAATTGATTGCTGACGGACTGATACAATTGTGTCGCAGAAAAGCAATGGCTGAACGAGCATTGGTGGTGCAGTGGTTAGCACTCACCGCGGTAAATGGTGTGATGCGAGTTCAAATTCCACCCTGTAGGACGTTCGAAGATTTGCATGTCACTCAGCAGTATTGGATGTAATTTTGTGCCTGTTTTTGATACGTAGATCCCGGTAATCTGAAAAATCTCTAATGATAGCTCTTTTCTTATAGTTCTGATTTATTTCCCTTGAGTAGTCTGCTGTCGATGATTGTCAGTCGTTGAGACACACAGTTTGATTATCCTAATGTAAGTCGATACCCCTAGAAAACCTTATACAAGTCTTTGCTTGAGTCTATCACTTTAGGATCACTATGTCGTCGAATCCATTATAGACAAACGAAGAAACAAAGAAGGAAAAATGGGATATCGTCTAAAATGGCAGGTAGGCTTGACGAAATGAAGTCGTCTCCGACTTACTATTACATACGAGTACGGCATATTATGACCGTATGGATTGTTGCGGTCTGAGAATGACACAAGAACTTCTTTTGTTTTCAATGTAAATCCAAGCATATTTTGTAAATAATGTGATAATATCCGTAATTTGACATGCATTGCGTTGATCTTCTTTTCATTTTCAGTAATATACTCATGAATATGGTGCTGCGCTAATCTGATTTTCATCATTATAACTTTCTCATTCAGGGATATTCCTTGGAGGAGAGCACATGGGAGCCAGAAGAACACCTCAACTGCGATGAACTCTTGGCAGAATTTGAGAGGAGATTGGCTAAGGTAAAGAGTAAAACTTAGTTTTCTTGTCAAGTTCCGATATAGCTCAATGTGTGTACGGTGAATGTGAATTGTATCACTCTGATATTGTTCTGATACGTTTGTTAATCTGAAGCACGGAAAATGATTTCTGAATTTAACGATTTTATTTAAGGTGAACTGTATTAATAATATTCACTTGTTTTTTTTTTCTCCTGTCGTTTTCTTTGCTGTGTTTTATTGTAGGCGAAAACACGAGATTTGGTTTTTGTATATTCTAAGATTAATTTTTTCAGAAGAACGTTGAAGCAGATGTGGATGTATCCGGCAGAAAATGATATGAATTTCTTAGTTCTCTCTTCCGGCAAAAATTGTAAGGTGTAAGTGGAGGAGAATAGCAACATGAAGATCACCGTTTAATTTAATATTCATGTTTTCTTGCGAGGCCGGAAGTGTTCAGTGAAGAGCAATGTTATAATCTGTGTGATTCATGGTTTTTTTTACTGTTTTCTAAGGGGCACTTAGAAATGTAAGTTTGTTGATCTGAAAGCCAATAACAACAGGAAATTGAATTTCTGTTTGTAATGTAAAGGTTCACAGAAGAGCGTGAAACCCTGCTGCCAAGTATCTAACGTGAATTTCACTGTTTTTTTTATGGATGACTATGAGTTTGAAGTAGCTTCAGCCTTTGGTTGTGACTATCCATCGTCTGACAGAACGGTGTTTTTCTTGTTTCTTCAGAGTGGTTGTGGTATCTAGAAAACTGCATTTGTCATACTATTTTCGAGGGTCGGAGTCGCATTTTACTCAGACTAAAGAGATCCAACTGTAATGAAGTGGGCGCCAACAGATATCATGGGAATATGACCAGCTCTAGATTACCGTTTAGCGCTCCTTCAACTGGTGGGTACCTGTAATACTGTATTATCATTAAACGCTATTTATTACATGTAGATATTTCGGCCTCGCATCATCTATCGTACTAATATGTCTGTTACACTATCAACACTGCTTTCTCTCTTACATGTTCACGGTTTTATTCGTCTAGGTTATCTGTCACGTGTTTTCTGATGTATACCTGTTGAATTCTGCCAAAAAGTTATGTCACTTGTTATGCGTGGTTTTTTTGAGACCAAACTCTTTCAACACGAATGATCCTGTTTTGCTTCAGCTTATAGCTTCGTGCACTAACTGAATCTTAATTTTCCGGAGAATTGTGATCATTTAAGTACTAGACCGATAGTGAACTTTACTGAGGTTGGTGTAGAAGTAGGAACGTAGATAACATTCATGGAATCTTTTGATAGATTTGTTCCCGAGCAAAGTGTAAGACAAAAAGAATTATCTTATGCTATGGTTTTACAGTGCATTATTGTGTTTCGCGAATAGCACTTCGAAGTAATCGGCTATTATTCATTAACCGAAATTGTATAACCTTCCTTATTTTGACAAAATATCGTTTCTGAGCTCCATGGATGCGAAATAATTTGAAAGTCTTTCGTTAGCTTTTGAAACTGATCGAACATGTTTTTATACCAGAAAATTATTATATCTGATGATCTTGGTGTATTGGTTGTCCTCTCGAGCTAATCTTTTGTAACTGGTGAGTTTTACCATAAGTTTTATTTAAACATGACTAATAATGTTGCTAATTTGAGTTCACCCTTGCTAGCGATAAGATTTCTTCTGTCCGTCCTTTTATAACGTATTTGAATAATTTGATCGTGCTCAGATGATCGGACAAGGAATGAGCATAATACATAAACACTTTCCATAATTATTAATAATTCCTTCAATATAATATACTACATGGTTGGTCATTTCACGAGCACGCTTTCTCGGATTGGGCAGTAAATCATTGTGGAATCGTTACGAACGTATTCGTCATCATAAAATGCTGCAATGATTAATAGCAAAGCTGGAGTCCTTACAGTCAGTGTTCAACACGTGGTTTCGGTAACGGAGAAGCGTAGGTTCAATTACCATCCGAGGCCCAAAGTTTTACATATCACATAACATCCTTGGGTCACAGAGAGTGGATTGACGCAGTGTAGCTTGAAATCTTCATCAACTCTATCTCTGAACACAATCATCTGAGCATGGCTCTCACTGATTAAAGCAGTCAGTTCCTTGTGCTTCATAAATGTTTGTTTTCAGTTCGATATATTTCGCAGAAAAAAGCAGTTAAGAGACACGAAGCCGACGCAGGAAGAGTGTATCAGTCTTATGCTTTCAGGACATTCTTTAGTGTATTCGCTGCGATATGACCTCTACAGGAGTTTCGATCCTGATCGTCTATCTGGAACTCAGATGGCTTTTCCTGCGCTTTTTGTAATCAGCTGGTCTGTTAAAACCGCAATTTTTCCAGAACAATTTAGAGAAGAAATCGAACTATCCCTCCGTCAAAACCTTGCGTCGCGATACAACGGATCACCAAACGCCAAGTTACTCCGCGTCCTAATAATTAATTAAGTGATCAGACATGCTCTCTGGTGCGTTGTTGAATCATTATCATAGCGTAAACGCTATGACACCATGAACTTATGCAAGACTCCGAACCATCTGTAAGATGAACAACTGTAGAAAATCACGCAGATAAACTGGACCTTCGAAATATTCCAAACCAATTTTTGTTTTAAATAAAAGTACAGCGTTACATTGTTTTATCGTCTCAAAATTAATGACTGACGTTTCGGCGACTTCGCTTTCACCAGAGCTCCAATTTAGTGTACCGTAACAAATCCGATTATTTAGCTAATACTTCCTATATTTAGTAAATATCCATTACCAAAATCAGCCCGCATATTCATTCATTATAAATCGCAAACGAATGTAACGTATAACGCATGCATAATCACTTAAATGAGAAACGTCACCAGTGTGCTGTCACATAACCTTAGTCAAACTGGAAAATCAACCTGAGATAGGGTACCATATCTAAGTTATGTTCAAACACTCTCTCTTACTATTTATTTTTGGACTGTCAGATTCTGTCTAGAAACCTTAAGGGTTTTCTGAGCCGGCTCCTCTGACTTCTACCTCAGAAATCTCAACCCTTATAATCTGAATCGCTTCGAAATCTCACCGTCATGCCTGTCTGCCCTACATGCACCTACCAAATACTCCAAACGAAATGAAAAGCTTCTGAAGAAGAATAATTCGAAAATCTGGATTTCAAGCTAACGCTCTACCTGGCCGGTTTCGAAGACCATTTTATCACCTGTATCACCAGTCGTCCCGTTGATCCTCGTGTGACTCGAGCGGGTACCAGCAACTGTTCCATTTTTCCCTACCGCGTGCAAGAGTAGCCCAGTGGGTCCTCCTCGCTATAGGGATTCGATTAGCATAATATCTTTCTTCTATAACTTTCATGAAGAATTCGGACAAATGGGTTGGTGGCCTTCCTGTTGAGCGCTTGATGTCCCGTGGAATCCAGTCGGTAACGGCTCTCGCCCGTCGGTTGTTGTTGAAGCGCATCACGTGTCCGGCACACCTTATTTACGATATCCTGGCGTGTAGAACGGCGTCTCCGATTTTCGATCGTTAACGTAGATCGGAACTTTGGATCCTTCCTCTAATTTGCGAGATACGGAATACTAATAGCATCGACCTTTCGACTGCGTGTTCGTTAACGTTAAGTGATCTTTCACCCTGCTCACGTAGCGACCAAGTTTCTACTGCATGCGTTATGGCAGGATAATCGTCGAGTCGAAAAGGTGTGCACGAGGTCGAATGTTCTTTGACCTCTTCACTACATCTTCGATGCTATTAAACGATCCCCAAACCGCTCGTTTACTCCTGTTCAACTCTGGAGCTAGGTCGTTCATCATGCTGATTTCACGACTTAGATAGACATAACTGGAGCATTAGGAGATTGTCGTTCTGTTGAGCATAAATGGGGTATTCAAAACCCACACTTTCTTCATGAACATCGTGTTCGTTAGATTTAGTTCAAGACCTATCTTTCCACAGGCGTTATCGACATCGGTCAACATTTGTTCCGCTTGGCTGATGCTTCGTGTTATGAGGGCGATATCGTCAGCAAAGCGAAGATGGTTCAAATGTCGGCCGTCAATTTTCACTACAGTATCGTCCCATTCTAATGTTCGCATGACTTTTTGTATGGTGGCAGTGAATAGTTTTGGCGAAATTCTATCGCCTTGTCGAACCACTCTTCTTACGTCAGTGGTGATGTTGTTGTAGAATGGAGATATTTTGGTCGTGAAATCTTTATAAAGCTCACGAAGGATCATTATGTACCGAGTAGGGACTCTCTGGTTATCCAGAGCCTCTATAACCGCTTCTGTTTCCACCGAATTGAAGGCTTTCTTCAGATTGATGAAAATGCG